AAGTTCACATAGTTGGAGATAGACTGAAATGCATGTGTCTAGGGAATTCAGTCTCTGTACTCTGGACTGTCTACCCCACCTGGGAGATTTAATTCTCTAGTATATTATCCCTCCCCAAAGGGTTTCTGTGCATTCAACCTCAACCTCCTGCCATATTCCCACTCCCAACACAGTTGCTTTCTCAGACATGTTGAATGGGAATAATTGTTTTCTTTTTCTTTTTCTTTTCTTTTTTTTTTTTTTGGTACCAGGGGTCGAACTCAGGTCCTTGTGCTTGCAAGGCAAGCGACGGAACCACTGAGCTAAATCCCCAGCCAATAATTGTTTTCTTATTCCAATGAAGAATATGAGTGTTCCAGTCTACTATTCATTTCTATCTCAGGTTGTCACACATAAGGTAATTAATAAAGAATGGAAATTTACTCTTTGCAATATTGAGTCTGGAAAGGCTAAAAGCATAGCACAAAAATGTAGTGAAACCATTTTGTTTGATATATTGTTGAATGCCAGGTAACTATGTATGGAATAGAAAGCACAAGTGAGTATGGTTTTAAAAGATGCCCACTCCAGTCATAAATCCCCCATTTTCACATTAATAACATTGTTCCATTTGGGAGAGGAAAACACTGATGTAACCATCAACTATTAGTGGTCCCATATCTCAACACTGTCTCATTAGATGTTCTGTTCTCAAAATATAAACTTTAGAGGGCATAATGAATTTCACACTGGGTCATTGATTTGAAATCTGTGACACGAGTCAGGAAGCAATGCACAGTGCATGGATGTTTATACTGACCTTTAAGACTCCACACCCTAGACACAGAGACCTCAGTTCCAGTCTCCACTTATTGCTTTATTATTGGTGACCTGATCAGAATCCAATTTTTGCTATGCATCATTTATATTCACTTAAAATAATTTTTTCTCATGACATCACACACAAAATAAACATTTATTTTATTTATTTACTTTTGCTTAAATTCTTTTTTTGGTACATTTTAGTTATATAATACATTTACATTTATCATTGGGTGCTTGTCCCTACACATAATGTAACTTGGTTCTTATTTTTTCCCCATTCCCTTTCCTCCCTTCACCCCTCCACCCTTCCCTATTTACAAAGACTTTGTTTCCATTTTTTTCTTTCCTCATAATTTTTCCTTTCCTTTCTTTCCTTTCCCCTTCCCCTCCCACTTCCCCTACCTCTTTGGACCTTTGCTTCCTATTTCAAATTATCAATTATTCATTTTAATCATTTTAATCCTTATATATACTTTCAGTTTCTCACACCAGAGAAACTATTCAGTATTTACACATGTGTCCTATTTATTTCACTTAAGAGTATGGCCTCAATATGCATCCATTTAGCTATAAATATCTCTAGTTTCTCATTCTTTATGGCTGAGTAGTACTCTATTTTATTAAAAAACCATATCTTCTTTATCCAGTTTCTAGTTGATGACCACTTGGTCTGTTTCCAAGATTTAGCTATTACGATCTGTGCTGCTAAAAACATGGGTGCACATATATCACCATGGTATGATTCTTTTGGGAAGATATCCAGCAGGGGAATAGCTGGGTCAAATGGGACCTGTAGTCCTAGTTCTTTGAGGTATCTCCATACTGATTTCCACAGTGGTTGCACCAGTCTACACTCCCACCCACAATGGAAAAGGGTTCCTTTCTCCCACAGCCCAGCCAGCATTTGTTATTTGTTGATTTCTTGGTAGCAGCCATTCTTTCTGAGGTGAGGTAGAATCTCCATGTTGTTTTCATTTGCATCTCTCGAATGACCAGTGATGTTGAACATAAAATCAACATTTATAACAATGATAAACCTGTTGAAAGACTGAGGGTGCACTGGGAGTCAGTGTTTAATTCATTAACATAAAGTCTTGTATAGTAAATGATTTTGCAGAGATTTAAATACTCTGAAGAACCTTTTCATGGTAAGTGAATAGAATGCAATATCAGCTTTGGTTATTGTGGCATCTTGATTAAGATTTTGATAGACTTCAGAACATTTTGCAGAAGAACAATTTAGAAAGTGTATTATCATGTGGGACATACTGGGAACGAAGAACTGGAGTCAATTCTGTAACCCTTAACATGTCTCTCAGTACTACTCTTTACTGAAGCATTTGTCTGAAATTCTACTCTCTTCTGCCTCTGTTTAGTCTTTTTCTGGCTCTTGTCCCATGTCCCTTTAATCTCTCCTCTGAGTTCTGGTTTTTCTGTTTCCACTTATTTATTTCTCATAGGAAATCATCCACCATTTGATATTACCTTGTCCACAAGCTATTCATGGCTTTCTCATGACTCTTATCATGAGGTGCCTTGTTCTATGTTCATCTGCTTTTGGATCAAAATATTAAAATATAAGGAAAGGATCTGTCCCATCTCCATCACCTCTGAAAGGATTCTATGGTCTTAGTGTAGTGAGGATTACAGAATAAATGCTTGAGTGCTGTATCAAATGTGATAGGAATGTACAATACAGGGAAAATTGTTTCATTTGACAAAGCAAAGATATGCCATATGCTACATGTTCTGTATACTCTTGCCTTGATGTGTTCATATCCTGAATATTTCACAATGTGAAAATTGAGACACAGCAAAACATGTGTCCAAATGGACAAAGCTGTCTCCAGATTCATACTGATTCCCCCAATTAAAGACTGTGGCACCTACAGAAGAAAAGACCACAATGAACTACCATATCAGAGGTGCTTTCAAGTGGGAGGCAAGAACTACACTTTTCTATGGGAGACCATATGTCAGATCATTTCCTCCTAATGCAGTTTTTCTTACTGTTGGTAAAGAGAGGTTGACCAAAGGACTACTCTGAGATATGAGATGATATTAGGTCTTTTTGGGGACTTGAATATGTGCAAAGAACCAAACTCCTGAGTTGGTGGAAAATGATAACATTTATCTCCATTGAAAAATTTTCTTAGTTAATGAGACAAGATGAATTATTCTCTCAGAGCCTTCATGTTCCCTCATAGTCTACTTTCAGAAAATGTTTAATGATGTCCTCTCTCCATGCACGGCATACTCAAAGGCCTTTGCTTAAACTACTTTCTCTACCATCAGTGTTATTACAACATTGCCTGGAAAATTCCATTGTGTCATTCAAACTATTCTAAGTAAAATGCTGGCCCATTCACTATACTAGTGAAATTCACACTCCCTATTTTATGTTCTCATAGAATCTTGTCCTTTTAAAAATTTTCTCATATTGCCACCACTATGAGTTTCATACTCATTTAATTTAGGTATATTACACATGCTGAGAAACAGGAAAGATTATGAAAAAGTTCCTTTGGGCTCTCAACTTCTCATGGTTCAAGTTCAGAAATTCTCTTAAAGTGAGCATGACAGCTTGCAATAAAATGTGAGAAGGTAAGGCAGGTGTTCATAGATGTTTAGTAATGTTAAAATACCATGACAAGGAGTGAGAGAAGACTCCTGGAAGTGGTAACATTTAAATGAGACCTGAAGCAATTGTATTTGTGATTTGGATAAAATGGTGACATGGAGAATCAATTTGCAGATAGCAGAGACAACATGTGCATTTCTGGGTATGTGCAGATGGAAGAGTCATGATGTTACACTGTGCCCACATATTCCGGGTTATTAGACTGTTTTCCAGGAAAGTATTGTCATACACAACTTCACATCTTTGTAGTTTTTCTCCATGGGTTCTCCTGAGTTACCGTCTAGAAGTGTAAGTGGAAGCAAAGAATAAGGCCTTAATCAGTTTGGAAAATATTGTGAAATAGGACTCCAGATGTCTGTAGCCACGGATTTGTTTTAAGCATAAGTTCATGGTCAGATGCCTGTATGTACTGGGTTATTTCTGCCTATATAGATTGTAGAAGGAAAATGCCATTTTGAAATGCAAAGAGTTGCTCGGGTCAGACTGAAATATGTGCACATGAAGGAAATCTGTTTAGAGTATTGGTAGAAAAAAACTTGTATGTATAGTTTTATGAAGAAAGAACTGATGTATTTGAAAGTTTATTGAGTATAGACACCTAACAGGAATTGTATTAAGTGTTTCATTGTCATTGCTGTTCTTGTCACAGGGAAACATACCTGACATACAAAGCATAAAAAGAAAAGGTTTAATTTGTCTGATTATTTCAGAGATTGCAGTCTGAATTTAGCTGCTTCATTTTTTTCAGGTATTGGGATTCAACGTCAGGACCTTGTACTTACCAGGCAGGCACAGTGACTCTAAGCTAAATCCCTGGCCTTTGACTGCTTCTAATGTAGACTATCATGGTAAACTGAAATAAAGGACAAGGATACCGACTTTAAGAAATCCAAGATCCAGAGAGAAATGAAAGAGCCTGAGAGGAATAGGCCAGGGTCCAGATTTGGTCCTTCAGGTCACACTATCAAGATTCAACCAGACACTCCAAGAAGTATGCTTTACTAATATTCCGTACATTTGTCTAATCAAACAAGTCATTAACACAAGAGTATCACCTGACTCCAGGTAGCTTTTTTTCTAGGAATACTAATGTTGATAGTTGAAGAATTTCAACCTGTGGCAAGTCAGGACAAGGCAAAAGGAGCTTATAGTTTAAAGTCCTTTTCTATCCCAGTCTCATCACCAGGAAGTGATCAGGTGGATCATGTGGGCCTGTTTCAGAAATCTTTCTGGCCCTCATGCTTGGATATATGTTTATCTTCAGAATTCAAGTATTTTTATGACCCTAGATAAGGTATGAAGCTTGTCTGAAGGAGTTGGAATGCTTGCTTTTCTTTCATCTTTACTCTTTTTTCACAATAGTGCTATCATGCAACTCTAATTTCTTCATTTACACAATAATTGTATTCCTCTTAGGGGCCACGTATTTGAAAATGAATAGATTGAGAGACAGTGTGAAAATCATGGCAATGAAGCCAGCTGCCTCATTCCCAACAGCAGGCCCTCCCTCTATTCCATTTTGTCCTGGGCTGGCCTTGACTCGTGTTTTCTGACATCAGAGGATTGAGTCTTCCATAGGACATTGACCCTGAAACCTTCTGAGCATATTTGTGACCCACTTTCATGAAGAGTGCAGTGAGTCCAGTAAGAAAGTCGGGCCAGCTCTGAAAAGCCAGGAGGAACGCCTTTAAATGCAAGCATACCACTGGGAGGTGAGAATGACATCGTGGGAAAGAGACTGGTCCAGAATTTCCTGGGTTAAAGGCTATCATTTGAGCTACAGTGGGCCACGCTGGTAAATATTTCTCTTGTCACTCTCAGCTCAGCTGAGCTGGCAGACAACACAGCAGGAGGCAATCAGCGATGAAGGCGCAGCCTGTCTGAACTACCCAATCAGGTGGGCCGAGGGAGGCGGGCTCTTCCTGTGTCATGGCGCTGAAGTGTGTTCCGTGAGTGTGTTGCCTAGATCCCCCAGCTGAGTAGACCACTTTTTTTTTTAAATAACTTCTACTAGCTGCCAGCTGCATCTGAAGAATTCTGGAAGACCCTCTATCCACGCAATGGTGACGTTCTGGGATGGGAGCTGGGGATGGGGTGGTACAGGGTGCATTCTTTACGGAAGTGGTCATAACCAGCTATAGCAATAAACAGCCTCTGCTTAGCTCCAGACGCCGAGGTCTTCCTAGTCCACACCCTCTAGATTGAGCCACCTTTAAAAACGCATGAGGCTTTGGGGGGTCATCTAAACACAAGCCATAGCAATATGTTTCCAAGTTTTGTTATCATTTTCAATATTGTTTTCAGAGTATTGTAGTTTAGGTTATAGAGGTCTTTTATTTCTTTGAGTAGCTTGATTCATAGGCATTAAATTGTTGTTTTTTCAATGTTTTTTTCATAATTACATAGTGAATTTATTATTCATTTACAGAAATGCTATTGCTTTTAGTGTTGTCTTTGTAACCTTCTATATTATGGAATTATTTGTTAATTCTAGAAGTCTTTTGGTTGAATATTTTGACAGAGAGGTAAATGGTACACATAGAGCAATATATTGTCCTTCAGTATGAGGGATTCTCAAAATGGCACCCAAATAGATACTGGAGCAGACAAGGAGGACTAAACAGCATTTCAGTCCACACTCATAGTGAGTAAAATTTCCTCTCACTACAGGCCTAACTGATGAGGAAAAATGTGACAGACAAAATCTTGGATTACATTAAATGTAAACAAGGCAATAAGGAAAACTACTGTCACTATAATTGCCATAAGTGAATACATGCCAGGACACATCCTCATGAACAGCCGTCAGTGGGGCTACTGAGCACACTGTAACACTGGGGTGGGAAAATAGGCACATAGTAGGCAGAGCTCGTAACTGGCAGCAAAGGTTGATCTTTGAGGTAGTTACATAAAATCAGAAAAATGTGCTGGAAGTAACCTTAGTTGATTTGTTCACCTCCATCATGATTCTGTGGATCTTATACATATTTATGTTAAATATAAAACATAATTTACTTCTAAGTTTTTCTTTGATTCTTCAGATAAGACCATTCTTTATCTCATAAAGACCATCTATACAAATTTTCTCTAAGGTTTTTAATCATGAATGGGTGTTGGACCTTGTCAGATGCTTTTTCTGCATGTATTGAGAGGAACATATAATTTTTGTCCTTGGCTCTGTTAATATAGCATATTACATTTATTGATTTGCATGTTGAATTAGCCCTGCATCCCTGGGATGAATCCAAATTGATCACGGTGTATAACCTTCTTGATGATTTGCTGCATTCTGTTTGCCAGTAACATTCAGGATTTTTGCATCTATGTTCATTAGGGAGATTGGCCTGTGATTCTCCTTTTTGGTTGGATCCTTCTCTGGTTTTGGAATCAGGAAAATGTTTGCTTCCAGGAATGCATTTGGGAGTATTGCTTCCCTTTCAATTTCATTAAGTGGCATTAGGTCTTCTCTAAATTTCTGGTAGAATTCAGGAGTGAGTCCATCAGGGCCAGAGCTTTTCTGTGTTGGTAGGTTTTTAAATTACATAGTCAATTTTATTGGCTGATATTGGTTTATTTAGAATTTCTGTATCTTCTTGATTCAGTTTTGGTGATGAATATGTATCTAAGATTCTGTCCATTTCTTCTGTATTTTCCATCTTATTAGAATACAGGTTCTTGAAGTAGGTATTGATGATCTTCTGGATTTCTGCAGGATCTCTTGTGATTTCACCCTTTTGAATCTTTTCTTTCCTTTATTTTGATAAGTTTACCTAAGCGTTTGACAATTTTATTTAATCTTTCAAAGAACCAGCTCTTTGATTCATTAATTCTTTGTATTGTTTTCTTAGTCTTCATTACATTAATTTTTGCTCTGATTTTTATAATTTCCTCTCTTGTACGGGCATTGGAGTTGACTTGTCTTCTTTTTCTAGGAGCTTGTGGTTCAACATTGTGTTGTTTATTTGAGCCTGTTCTGTTTTCCTGATATGGGAAATCACTGCTGTAAACTTCACTCATAGGACTGCTTTCATCGCATCCCATAAGTTTCAGTATGTTGTATTGTCATTACTGTTTCACTATAGAAATTGTCTACTTTCTTCTTTAATTTCTTCTGTGATCCATTGTTCAGAAGGGTGTTATTCAATTTCTATGTGTTTATGAAGTTCTTGTGGTTTCTTTTGCCATTGATTTCCAATTTCATTGCATTATGGTTTGATAATATGCACGGGATAATCTCAGTTTCTTTGCATTTAAGCATGTTCTATGAACTAGTGTATGGTCTATTTTGGAGGAAATCCTAGCTGAGAAGAATGTGTATTCTGATGTTGTGTGATGGAACACTCTGTAGACATCTACTAAGTCCATTTGTTCAAAAGTTTGGTTCAATTCTAATATTTCATTGTTGATTTTTTTTTTTTAGTCTAGTTGATCTATTTGTGATAGTGGGGTATGGAGGTCCCCTATTACAACTGTATTAGTGCTTATATTTTTTTATGTCTGGCAATATTTGTTTTATATAGTTGAGTGTGCTGATATTTGGTGAAGATATATTTATGATTGTTCTCTCTTCCTCTTGGATTGTTCCCTCTACCTGTTTATAGTGACCTTCTTTGTCTCTTTTAATCAATCTTAGCTTGAAATCTATGTTGTCTGCAAATAGAATAGCTACTCCTGCTTTTTTCCAGGTTCCTGTTGCATGGAATATTGTTTTCCATCCCTTGACTTTTAGTCTGTGAGTTTGTTTTTGAATTAAATGTGTTTCTTGTATGCAGTGTATTGCTGGATCTTGCTCCTTGATCCATTCTCCCAATCTGTTTATTTTTATTGGTGAAATGAGACCATTAACATTGATGGTTATAACTGATATGTATTGTCTTATCTCCGTCATGTTCTTTTCCTGATGTTGGCTTCCTTCTTTTCTTTTCTGTTTAATTTCTTGTCTGGCCTAGGTACCAGATTTTTAATTTTATATGTTTCTAAGAATTTACTAAAATGTTAGATCATGATTTTCTTACATGTTATTGTCACAGTGAGCAACTGTGATAGGGTAGAGGATGAATGATTGTTCTGAGAAGAGACTTAGTTCAGTCGCTGAGATACCCATGAGGACTATCTCAATCAAGAGCACCCAGCATTAGCAGGACTCTGAGGAGAAGCCTCAAAGCCGGAGAACTCTCCAGCTTTAATTTAGAATGTCAGTGTAAGTGAAAAACAAAAGAAAAACAATTTAAGCAAGGAGCTCACTCAAGGCTAGGCAGTATGGTGAAAGGAGAAGGACAATTGCCAGACACAACATGCCCCACTAATCTAAACTTGTTTAACCATTTACTTCTCATAGAACCTGTATGCTTTTGCCACACGCAGTTTAACTATTCACTCATCCGCCATTTTATGTCTTTTACTATATCATTAGTATGCCAGGAACAATGGTATGCACTTGTAATCACAGCAGTCTGGAAGCTGGTGCAAGATTAACTCTTCATGGCTTGGCTGGGGCACATATTGACACCCTTTTTCAAATATTTAAAAAGCTTGCATAGTTATTTCTCATTTTCTTTTTGTGTTTTAATATTATACCTTTCTTATTATGACTCTTTATCTTGCTCATCTTTCCAGTATATTGATTTCTCTTATTCATTGGTTATATATTTTTGATGAAATGTTTTGCTAAACTTATTTATTAAATGCTATATATACAAATGAACATTTTTTTTCAAACTTTGACATTTACCAAAATTATCACTTGTTCATATTTCTAAATTTCTTTCATAATTCACTATTGAAGCAATAGATTATTTCATAGTATACTTTGCAGCAAAAATACAGTGTGCAAAAATAATGTAGTTCAGTGGTAGAGGACGTGCTTTGTGTGACTAAGGTTTTGGATTCCTTCCACTCCCATACAGGCAAAAAAATCACAAGATTTTAAAACTGTAAACATTTTGCAAATATAATGCTCATATTTTTCATAAAACATGAAAATTTTATATGCAGTTTGTTGCTAAATTCTGGGTTGACCCTCTAATATGTAGGCCTTATTTTACCTGTATTACCATTGTGAATGATATGACTCTATTTTTTAATAGATGGTTAGAAAAGGCACTGTAAGACCTAGGATTGTTCGGTAGAATAGGATTGTTAAGTTACAGTTTGAGCCGTGCCACATCATAACTTCACCATTGTGTCTTCATGCTGTTTTGGATCTTAGTAGATATAAGAGCTGTGCTTGTTCAGAACTATTGCATCCAATCTCAGTTTATCCTCCTCAATTTCTTGACTTCCCCTTGACAACTTCAGGGAGAATTCTTACTGTGCTTGCTGATGTACCTATTCATATTGCTGGAGAATCTGCTTATCAGGGTACATTCTGCAATGAATACAGTATACTCACATCCATGTACCATTTCTTGTGTGATTTCTTGATTTCTAAAATTATGTACAGTGTGATAAAGCTTATCAAACTTCTGTGGGTGCACAGCTGTGTCACATATGTGGTATAAGCTAATCACCTGGACTTTAGCTTTTGCTACATTGAACCCTACTTCATAGTTATAGGGTAAACTCATCATATGCACCTTTCTGTGCCTCTGTGTTACAATATGCACAGTATCCCTCATGAGTGCCTATCTTGAGGTTTCGTCCTAGGATATGTTCAGTTATTGGACTTTGACAACAATGGTAGTTTTCATCTTGCCTATGTAGTCTAATGCAA